AACCAATGGATCATCAAACAAATCAACCCAGAGTTCTTACTCAAGGCACATATGACCAGGCTCAAATTATCCTACTTCAGACACCTTATGTGAAGACCTAGTTCTCTGGAAAAGGCTATAATGCTGGAAAGGTGGAAGGAAAGAGAAGAGGACAACCAGCAGCAAGGTGGAAGAGGCTCAGCTACAGTTTTTTCTCAGTCTCAGTTGGCTATGGGTGCACCATTAGAAGATCTAAAGAACCAATTAAGGACAAATCATCATGGAGAAAATCTATTTATGTGGTTGCCAAGGGTTGACACCAATTTGAATGGCATGTAATCAATCAATCCTCTCAATATGTGTGTTTTACAATTACAAGATTGCAATAATGTGATTGCAACCATTTTGTAGACCTTTTCAGTTTAAAATTTTTTTTTCTGTAATGTTTCAATAAGGTCACAATTATCTCATCAGAAATTATTTTTTTCCTTGCAAATTCACATTCAATAGACAAACTTGCTAGTCAGTGTAACCATTCTTTTTTGTTTTTCTGTTTAACACCTGCTGCTTTTGATGGCCAAGGGGCTGTTGGAACTTCTTTCCCGTTCTACCACTGAAATTTTGTGTGGAAACCGACAACACAGGATAAGCAGGTAACTTCTTCCCAGACCTTTCCATTATCCATGGGGTCAATGTCCATTTATTATGGCATTTTATCCCTCTTATCAGCTGTCTGCTCTTTGTTTGTGCACAGGGAAGCTATTTCTTGAAAGAGCCTGTCATACACACAGAACAATCTCTTTGCCTCTCAGACTACAAATCCCCAGAAGTACACACACTCTTTTGTAGAGAACAGACTGATTCAGCGCAACTGCTTCTAGCTGCTTCCAGCAAATGTAAATCTCCACAAAATAAATAAATGAGGAAACGATTTGATATCAATATCTTTACACATATTCTGCAATGCATCGTCAGGTCCCCCTCCACTTCAGAGCAATGGGACCAGCTTGGGCTGAGCTACCCTTAGCTCTTGGGTAAAGCTTACCTTTTCTATTCTATCTCTCATGCTTCTGTCCTGCATCTTCCACAATGATGAATGGCACATCAAGTAAATGGTCTCTTCTCATTTCCTGTACATTCAACAAAACGACTTCAGTCAATGATGTTAAGCTTTAACTCATTCATTGTCATGCTTATATGATTCTATTCTATGATGCTGTTTTTACTGTTGTTGATCTTACTTCATTATTAAGATTGTTCTTAATTTTGTTGTGATGACTACTGTGCATGCCAACCATGTTGAGTTTGATTTTATGGCAGAAAAACAGCCTTGCTCAAGGTGGGATCCTATTGTCGCAGGCCTATCAGTATTTATTGACTTACAATATTTAACCAATTTTATGCTGCCTCAATCACAAAAGGAGGCTGAGAGTTAAAAACAATATAATGATTTAAAAAAATACAATTTCATAGCTCATTGGGGGAAGAATAAAAGCAAGACTCATAAAATATGAATCTAATATATCCAGGAAGTGGATCATAGTCCACCCTTATCCAGAGCCTGTTGGACATTTCTGGTATGTGCAGAAGTTAACTTGCAAAACCAGTATTTCCTGAATTCAGTCACAGATAAACATTATTTGAACATAACATGGCAGGTATGTTTTACTAAGCAAATAATGTGACTGTACATACTCTTACAGAATACATGCCTACTCAGTAAGATCCATTGAATTCAGGGGGTTCCTCTCTGAACCTAGAAGTAAATGGCAGGTTATAAGAATTCCTTTCCTGTTAAAAGGTTCCATGCTACTTGTCCACATCCTATTTTAGTAGAAGACCGGATTCACATATTGTGCTAAACCATCAAGCAATTTCTTTGCTTTTTAGCCTAGCATAATGAATAAACCCAGAGATTATGGCTTAAGCAGAGGTCACTAAACTTGTCTAATCCCAGGTATCTCCCCGTAAAGCCGGAGGGGCAAAGGTTGCGTGTGGCCACCAGCATTCATCTTGGGACTCTTGGTTTTGTTGCTAAGTCATGGTTTGTTTTTGTTAGGGTTTGTGAAATTAATGACAATAGGTAACTTCATACATTGTGCCAGGCTATTAATGGGGCCTGCAGACCACAATAGCTAGATTCACATCACATGCTTTGTGTACCCAAATCAAGCAAAGCACATTACGGCCTAGAGCTGTGTTTCTCAATGAGAACTTTAAGAGGTGTAGAAATCAATGCCCAGAATTCTGGAAGTTGAAGTCCACACCTCTTAAAGTTGCTGAGGTTGAGAAACACTGGCCTATAGTAATGTGCAAATATTGTTTTAGGATATTTAATCTGCCGTTTGAGACTGGGAGGCAATATCTACTTTGTGGTAGTTAATCTTTTTGGATCAGTGGGAATGTATGAAATATGAAATGTTGTGGGCACTCTCAAAAAGTGGTTGCCACAGCAATCAGATTAGAAGGTAGATTGGTGAGGCTGGGTCCCACCATCCACTCTACTTCTCTCCCCGTGGATATCCTCTTATCCTGTGGGCAGCTGGGCATATTTCCAAATAAAGCACTGGTTTGCAACCGGGGATCATTTTTATGTTTTATAATACCTACAGTTCAATATTATCCTTTGAACCATGAAAAAGCATGCATGTTGTAAAACTTAGGCCTTGTTAAAAATATGAGCTAAATTCCCCCAATTAAGTATGACCAATGCTAAGTTCACACACACTTGCTCCTCAAGAGTGTGAAATAATCCTGCAAGTCCATTCATAAAGTCACCTGTGATTAAAACTGTAGGAGTAAAATTAAGAAAATGTATCATAATGTAATATTTGGCAAAGAAAACCCACTGCCTTTAAAAGAGTAGTAGTGCTGGATTGAATTAAATTAAATGAATATGTAATATGCCAAACACTGGCAAACAGATGACTACCTGTTATTTTTGAAATCTTCTGCTAATTGTTAGGCCTGGCAGGTGCCTCTGAGATTACAGTAAAGCATTCCCTTAAGGTATTCACATTATCTTTCACTAAAATTACTCATACGCTTGTAGCTTATTCACTCTACAGACTAGATAGAATTTGCTCTATGCTTCTGATTGTTACATATATTTTTTTTATCAAGAAGTACACCTTGAGATTAGGAAAAGCAATTGGATAATTTAAGAGATGACAATGAGAAGTGACACCTCCATATTACAAAGTCCAGTCCACATCACTTGTTATTACACCACTCTGAATGTCCTGTGATGTATACATTTAGATTATGATGAATCCTGTTAGAACAAACAACAGAATGGAATCAAGATCCTATCCACCTTGAATTTCTCAGTCCCTGTAAACTCTTGCTTATATTTTTGTGCATTACTGGCTAGGAAGATTTTGGCAAAAAGCAGCCTATATAACTTTAAGGTTTTTTTTAAATTAATGCTATTTCTTGCAAAATACCATAGCAGTTGAATCTGCAGCCCAATTCTTTATACATGAGAATATAATCTTGTGCATCCCGATCTGCTATCTAGTAACCCAGAAGTAAATCCAATTTGATTTGATAGAACTTTCTCCAAAGAGTGATGAGAGTTCAGTTTGGAGGCTTTTGATCAAATCATTCAATCCAAACTGATTTAATTTGGAAAGTTGATCAATTTGATCAAGTTACATTCAAATCTGATATTGCACAGTATTGCTTCTCGGCCTTTTGGCTCACAAGAAGAGTGTGATATTGCACAGCCCTATTATTTATTCCCCCCCCTTTCCCCTTTCCTTCCATTTTTATCATCTTATCTGATGAAGAATTATGGAGTACTTGAAAGTTTTTACCTCTTTTGTGATATTGAATTGGCTTAATAAAAGTATTGTTCTAATATGTGTTCTGGAACCTTTTTTTTATGGCCAGTATGGCTTCTTGCTTTCTATAATAAAGTTTTATTGTTGAAAATTGTTTGACTGGAGAGGAGCAGAGGTTGCTACCACTGTGAAGCAATTCATTTGTTTTAGGTGATGGGCTGCTTAAAAGGGGAGAAAGAACGAGATTAAAGGGTATTTCTGTTATCTTATCTTCTTTGCCCTTGCTACAGCTGCTTAAAACTGCCTCCACCGCAGAACTGAAAGAAGCCTTTGTTTATTTCTCGAAAATATGGTTATCTTTTTGTTCGTATTATTGTTCTACATAGTTATTGTTACTCACATGTTATGCCTTGGAAGGTCTTGTGGAAAAGAAAAGAGGACGTTGATCTAAGGGCATCATGAGGATGGCATCACGGCATCTTTAGTTTTGTCTCTCCTATTTCTTATTGGGATGAGGAGCAACATTCCCAGATGTTTTTACCCATTTTTTGAGTGGAGAGAATTGCTCATCACTTGATTCTTATTTTGCACTTGTTAACCCATGCTCCTCCCACTTGTTCCTCCAAGAAGGAAAAGCACGTTATGGAAAGCAGACTGCAACCTATTTTGCATCTGAGGCTTGATCTGAGCTGTGCTGAATCTTGCCACAGTAACAATTACCTGGGCTTGGTTTTTTGCCTCTGTAGCTGGTCAGCCAACTGAAAGCTTATCATTACTGTGCTGCATTTTCTGCTATGTACTTTAGGTCCCCTACTGCCGCTGTCCTCCAGTTTGCTGCGGGAGGCCATCATGCCGGCTTGCTCCCTCCAAACCCCCTTTCCGGTACAATATTGCGCGCCCTCCATGCCTTATGCAATGACTTATTCAAACGAAGGCAGCATGGCACCCACACCCCCAAGCCCCTCCTTGAGTTCCTCCAGAGAGGTTCGGCTTCAAAGGCCACGCTGGCTGGGGATCATGGGCGCTGAAGTCCAACTCATTTAGAGGGCCCCGGGCTTGGGGAAGGTTGGCCGACCAGGTGGCTCTCCACCCCGCCTCCTACTGGGGCTCCCGTCACGACCGCATGGGAACGCGGCCAGCTGGCCGGACCCAGGACGCGTCGTCGCCCTGTTCTGCTCCCCGCGCGCGCCGGGCGGGGCGGCTGGTCCT